CCTCAGTTGCGGTCAGATTTCCACACCTGAAAGCCTTATAAATATTGCAAATTTAAACGGGTGTGGAAATCTGACCGTGCTGTACCTGCCACGCAAAATGGACGTGTTAATCCGATCCGCTGTAGACCGCAAGTGTCATGTTGGAACAGAGTAAGAAGCGTAAACTTTAGGGTTCTTGAAGTATTTCGCAAACACGCACTTTCAACAAACGTTTCATGAACCCTTTGAGGCCTCGATCTGCTGGTCATACCACTTACCAAAGGCGACAATCCTCAAGCTGCAGGCAAGATCTAAATTGCCCAAAAATCTCAAAGATTCTTTCTGAGCCCTCTGCTCTTTCCTCATGGCAATGAACCAAAAATGCTTCAGGCACAACTGAGAAGCATGATGCCGATATCCTGCTAGTTTACATGCAGCACCATGCATCAAAAATGTGACCGAACCCCTCTTGGCCAATCCCCTGTTGAATTGACTTGTTGCTAGCCTTCTATAATAACAGCGCCAGGCTTCTCATAATCCCAAAGGACCAGAAACTACAGAGTTCTCAAACAAAACGATACCAAACTCCACCTCATGGAGGAAGTTATATATGCACATATTACATGAGGCGATTGACAGAATAAAATCTGATTGGCGCAGCTCGTGTGAAAAGTAGGAGAGCCCTGCTCCGAATGTCTGACAAGTACGTCACCTCCAACCCCAACATGAAGCTGCCAAAGTACACTGACTCTCTGGAGCCTGGCACCCTTGCAACACAGACTCTGCGGAACCAAAGGAAAAGCATAACAGGCAGTTATTTTCTCGCGAAGGTGTAAGCGCAGAAGCACTGAGCTACAGCTGTGTATCCAGCCATAGAGTCATTTTTGTACAAAGGTCATTGCAAAATATTTAACGGCCCTTCAATGATTTCTGAAACTTTTTGGCTTGTTCTTCAGTCATAACGTTGCCAGCTTGAGAGGGTGGTTCAACGATGCGTGCACGCTTCTGCTGCAGAGCAGTCGCTTGTCTTTCAGCCTCCTCCCTCTTTTTTGAGAGGAACTTCCCTTCCTCTTGCTTTTTGACTACCGACCGTGCTTGCGGTTCTTTCCGTGAGTTCAATACAATTGTGAAGCTGACTTCATCACCAACTTCACACCTATGAGCCTGTCTGGCATGCAAATAGACATCCTGTCCTGTTCTATTGTAGATTTCCGGACAAAAAATAAAACCGTGACCGGTGTGCTTCTCTCCGTAGAAACATTTCACTGTGCCGCTGTACCTGCGCTCCTCATCAGGCTCAGCAGGGTCGGCAAACTGCTTCTGACCATACTGCATGTTCAGCATCATATTGGAAACCATCGATGGAGAAGACAATGCATTTGAGAAAAATGATGAAGACCACCCGTCATTTCCATCTGCCAAAGATGGACTGAAGGTATGTGGTATCGATGACCCTGAAGATGCACCGCAAGCGCCACATGGACCATAGACGCCGTATGGACCGCACCTTGACCCACGTTGATCCATGCTTTCCCACTGCGAATCCACCTCCCAAGGTACCATTGGCACCATGCCTTGTGGCGCTCCAAATTGACCTCCACTCGGAGGCCACATCGCCACATGCATCAAGCAAGCCGAGACAAAAAAGTATACGGAAGCTGAGCAAGCTGAGCAAATGCATATGAGACGTGTCCCGTATGGCTTGTCCTTTTTCAACTTGTGACTCGAGGTTTTACCTCCAATAGCTTGAGCCCGAACAAGTCGCAGGGAGTTCAACGGGCAACTGTAGCTCTGCACCCAATTCTGTCTATGCTTATGCAGCCTATGCAAGAATGACACCAACCAGTGCTCATGAGACATGACATATATATAATATACTGTTTTGAACCCAGCAAACATTGATCAAAGAAAACCTGGCCTTACCCCCAACATCGAACTCAGGGTCCACATTGTTCTGCCATGCGTCAGGACACACTAGACTAGTATACAGTCAAGCGAGCATCCATATTATGTATGTGTCTCGCATGTTTCGATGACGATACGCTCCTATTTCATCCGCCAAACGAGACTCATCCGCCATTTCACTATGCAAAGGCAACACAGCAGGCTTCCTGCCAGCTTACTTCGCCATTCGTCTCTATCAATTGCTCTGCGACAGCCACCAAAAGTCTGAAAATAGAATTCTTGATCCCATCATGAGTGTGGTCTTGGTGTGCGATGCCTGTGTGATTTACTTCCACGTGAATGCAAGACAGTCCTGAATTGTGATTTCAAAGGCCGGGGCACCAAGCCAATCAATCCTAGTTCTTCGCAAGCTTTGATAGATCGCTCTTCTTTTTGCAGCCTAGGCCGAGATCCAAGTCCAGGTGTCGCGGCTTTACAATTCACAATCCTTTCCAAACGCTTACAAGGCTTCACACCACGACTTTATATTTTGGAGGCCTTGTGCCCCCCCCGGAGCATACTACGCTAGCAGACATCTGCAAAGTACGACCCTGCAACGTCGGTATGTCCAGACACAGCCATTCAAACTGATCCTGCCACACCCCATGCAGCAGTTATGTCACGTGTGCTTAGGCTAACTCTGTCTATCCCGAATTTCCCAAGTCTCAAGTCTTCAGATTCCAATGGCCAAATAGTTCTGCCAAATAGTTCTAGTCAGAAGCAGGATCATGATTACCCAAAAGCCATTGAGAGGTGAACAAGGGCAGGAGGCACCTGTTTGGCGACAACAATAGCACGGCCAGGTCCGGGCAACTCAGATCCCAGGGTAGCCTGCGTGGAGGCCAGGAGGGCCGCACCCAGGGGCGAGCGGATGGATTTGTTTTTCAAGCACGCGGCGCCAGGCGCAACCAGTTGAGCTATATCATGGTGCGGCCTGACCCATTCCTGAACAACCAAATCACCTGAGCAAAGGAAAAACTGTGTTTTAGGTTAACCTGATCATGCTGTGCAGCGACGTTGCGAAGTAACCGACCAAGGGCTTGACTCCTTGACATCCCCCAGCTGTCACTCACAGACCCAGGAGCGATCAACGCAGGTACGTTTCCACGACGACATATAGATGGGTCTTCATTGGCCTCTGCCACCTATGCGTCCACGAGCCCCTGCTGTTAATAAAACAACAATTCAAGTGGCAAAGTCCGCAGACAACCTACCATTCTGAAGTGCACACACGCACAAAATGGCGTGGCTTGAACCCACCCATCCTCTGGTGAGGTTTGGCCCTGGTTGTTAGGGGTCGTAATATACAAAACATGGTGAATAGGAAAAATGCGTCTTTGTGGGGTGACCGCTTCACGAAGAAAAATGTGTCGCACATTGCAGAAAAAGGCCTCAAGCCTGGGCATCTGGTTCACTAGTTCAAAACAGCTGCATGGGAGCGCTATACCATTCACGTCTTCCTAGGCGTGGATTGAACATGGTTGTATGATCCAATTAATGTTCGATATTCCAAACATTTTTGCAGTATTCTATACAAACTCACCTCTCTGTGAACAAAGCTTTTGCAAAATACATAACACAGCTGAAACCTCAGTCTTGACGGCCGGGCTATGAAAAGAATCATATAAATATATAGGTTGGATATCAAGCAAATATAGATTTATTATCAAAAAGAAAACTAATTTGTATCAAACAGGCTGCGCGATGTGAATTTTGATGTCCAGTTTTCGTGGCAGGCGCAGCACTATGAGCACCTCCAGTAGCAGATTTCGTGGCAGGAGCTGTAGTTTGCGCACTGGAAGTGCAGATTTCGTGGCAGGCGTTGCACTTTGAGCACCTTCAGTTTCAGGTTTCGTGGCAGGCGCAGCACTTCATGAACCTCAAAGTGCAGATTTCGTGGCAGGCACTGCGCTGGGTGAACCTCTATAATTATGAACCTCGAAGTGCAGATTGCGTGGCAGGCGCAACATTTCTGTGGATCTCAAGATCTCTGAAAAGAGCTCTTGATATCTCTGGATTTCAAGACCTCTCTCTGCATCTCAAAACCTTGCTGGATCTTTCTGGATCTCGGCCTTTACATCTTTCTACACCCTCTACAAGTCTAGACCCCTAGAAAGATTTCAACACCTGTCTGGATCTTGAGACAAGACCTCTCAACCTCCATCTTTAGATCTGTGGATTTCTAGACCTCTACACCTCTAGATCCGTCTGGCTCTCCAGGCCTTTGGACCTTTGTACATGTAGACCTCTCTGCATCTCAACCGTGGTCTCTCTCTCAATTTCAGAGCTCTAGATCTCTGTAGATGGGTCTCAAGACCTCTCTGAATCTCAAGACCTCTTGACCTGCGGATGGCTCACAAAAGGTGCTACGTTGGAATGGCACCTTCCTCCTCTAAAGTTTGTGCTGGCAAAAGGTCTGCTCCTCTAAATTTTGCCCTCGCATGGCTCACAAAAGGTCTACTGCTCCTCTAAATGTTGCTCAAAAAAGGTCTGCTCCCTTGGCGTTGCAGCTAAATGTTTATGCTCGGGTGGCTCACAAAAGGCCTGCTACGTTGGAATAGCAATTCTACCCTCGGGTTGGTCACAAAACAAAGGCCTGCTACGTTGGAATGGCAAATTCTTCCTCTAAATTTTAACCTTGCAAGGCTAACAGACGGTCTGCAACATTGGAATGATTTTATCCTCAGGTGGCTCACAAAAAAGGTCTGCTACATCTGGTGATAAAAGGTCTGCCACTGTGCTTCACAGGATGTATGACAAGATTGACAAGGAGATTTCCAAATCACCTTAATAACGCGTCGACAAGACCAGGACCAAGGACCAAAGGACCAAGAGACCAGAGGACCAAGGGACCAGAGGGCCAAGGGACCAGGACCAAGGGACCACAGGACCAAGGGACCAAGGGACCAGGGAACCAGGACCAAAGGAGTAAGGGGAATTTTATTTGTGATACGAATTAATGGTTTTTTCTGATAGCGATCAGTTTGTTCATTGATAGGAATCAATTATCTTTTTGATAGGTATCCCATTCTTGACTGCAGCATGGCAGCACGGTAGTCCCATGCCACAAAATGACAAGAACACTGATGCGACTAACAGGAAAGTGGCTGTGACACCATCAAAGCATCAGATGCACTCACGAACAAACGACATCAACGATTCTTAAATGCATCTGAGGCTGAAGCACATGTAGAAGAGCTACTTTGGCTCTTGGATTTCGGGCCACCTCTTGCGCTGATGCTCGGATGGGTTCGCCTCGTCTTTCAAACTCAGAGATTGTTTAGCAGGCAAACCTAAAATCCAGCCTACCCGTTCTACAAGCTCAACTGCAATCAAGCCACACAATTGGCGGCAAGAATAGGGCAAATCAGTGGCAGCCAAGGGGAATAGTTCACAGAACCGCTGCGGAGTGACAAATTCTGCAAACCGAAAATCAGGGGCTTCATGCTCACGAATAAAACGCTTCACCTTCAGAGCAGCTTTGAGTTTCTGAAACATATCGG